AGATTATGGGGCCGAGATTTGTGTGCATCGCAAATGGCCTTTCGACGTACCCGAAGAGATGGCTTGTGAAATTACCCTTATCCTTAGATTAGCACTGTTTGCGTCTGTTGTGCATTCTGTTGGCATTCAACACAAAGTATATTTGGCCGGTTCCACGAACCCCATAAGAAAGATCCCAGAATGTGTTCACGCAGACGTGCGAGGTATTCCATGACAGGAACACAGGTCATATCGCGGAGGTGACATACTTAAATCAAGTCAATCAGTTACGCTTGTTTCTCAGCGTTTCTTACATGCTTAACACTTTTCCTTTCTCGATTCTCATCTGAAGTCTTGTAGTCACCTCATATTGAGTTCATCCGTCAGTTTCATGTGCAGACGATCGATAGTACAGTGTAAGCCCTTGTGAGCTTGCGGTTATAATCCTGTTGATCGTCTGTAACAAAAACTTTTAAGAAGCGCCCAGTCAGGAGTAAAGATTGTGCAAATATTATACTTGAATAGTCATTGGGGATGAATGATGTTTCGCTAAACCATTGGACGAATAAAGATAATCGTTGGTAAACCGAAAACATTTCTGACTAGGTTAGTGACTGGTTATTCTAACTCTCTCGGCTTTAACAACAACGAAAGCCGATATAGCTTGCCGGAACACCCAAGTAATTAGGCATCCGTCCTGTTTACCCTTGTTCCCAGTTGGCACTCGTTCTCGATGTCGCAGAGGGATACGAATAGTGTGCATTGAGCAGGTGTTCGATAACTGCTCTCCAACTATGGGCTGAAGAAGTAAGCCGGAGAAGAGGAAAGCTGTTCTGCTCAAACTAATTTTGCTTTGATTACTTTGTGTGAAAGTGACTTGCTCTACGTCACAACTGATGCTGCGATGGTGGAATCACGTGCACGACTACTGATAGGAGGACGCGTACTGGACATATACCTTTGTTACAATTCTTAGTTACCGGCTTTCGTTTTGCTACAATTTGTTTCTTGACCTTTGTTTAAACGCATCATTTCTTTACCTTGATTGGCCGGCCTACGTCATGCGGAATGGATATCATCTCAGATGCCGATTTCCGATAATACCGTTTCCTCGAACGCGCCTGGTTGGTTATTTCTTTTGCCACCTTTCATTCGCCCGTATTATTTACTGCCTCCTATGTTGTTGATTGACTTCAAGGCGTTGCAGTATCTTTGCCTCATCCACCGCTGTACACTATTTAAGTGAAGCAGAATTCCCATGTATACAACTCGGACCTGACTCGTGTTCGTGTTCTGTTTGTGGTCGTGGGTACGAACGGTCGGCAGCGACACAACAATTACAAGTTTGAAGGATGCAGTTCTGACTCTACTTTGTGTTACTAATGGTGAAGGACTACCCTGCACCTAGGCAACCACATATATCTCCGTGGATTTGCCAAATGCGTAATGTAGTGAAACCACTAATTACTACGTTACATCTTATTGCGATTTCGATGTTTGCTGGAGTCAAAGACCGAAGATGAACAACAGGGGTGACTGAATCAATAGCGTTTAGTGTCACAATTCTGCCTCCATTTCCACTGGTTTCAAAACGGTTATATTCCGTACGAAATTTGGCAACTTTCAACCAAAGATCCTAGTGTAAGTCTGATTTAAATACGATATACATAGAACTTCAACTGTACAACATCAAAGGATGACTTTTCTCTAGTAGCCAACCAAAGTTTCTTTCAGTGCCTTCGTCCTCCTCATTACCAAAGCAATACTGCCGTCAGGAATATTGACAAAATTACTCATCTCCCTGAGTTTATGAACCTTGGAACGCTCTCCAGAACTCTGTTGTTTCATCCCCATTTCGGCTGTTCACAAAACGATATGACTTTTTTCTTCGCTTCCACCACCTTGTCACATAAACGGTGCTCCCGTATGTATATTTTAACACTTGACCAATAAACATTCAGCAGTGCCGAAACACATGAGTAACAACAACCAAAAGGAGGAAAAAGGAGAGTCAGGGGTGGGAATGCGAAGATCCATGTGCTGTGTGGGCAGTGAGCTTACCGGTTGCCTAGACCGAAGCGGGGGGTTGCGTTAAGGAACCCCATCGCGAGCCTTTGCTTTTAAAGATCCGACCCACGATGCGGCGGGGCGAATACGAAGACCGTTGGCAACCAGGTGGCTTATTCGTCTTTGTGTTCGGTTGCCGTTCACCGAGAAGCCGGTGGCCGGTATGGTTGTTCATCCGCCCGCTGTTAGATACTCACGTCCAATTACAGGAATGAGTAGTCCGTAACTCCACAGCCGGTCACATTGGCTTTGACACAGCGCCGTACGAGCTCTTGTGGCGTTTGATGTAGAACCGTGTGACCAGCCCAGAACTCCCCCGGCCCTGAGACGATGCCGCAGATTGTCCGCGACTGCTTATTCATCTCACTTGCAAAGCAGAAGAGACTTATTCGCAGGTACCTCCACAAGGAACGCATTCCCCAATCCGTAACCTAAGGACGCCCACGATAGACTACAGCTCAGCCACGGGACGGTGCTCCTGTGGCGTTTGTTTGTGCGTCACGCTTACTGTTGCAAACTACGCGCGTATAGAGCTGTTGATATATTTACATATTTATCAGGCACATCCTCCTAGTGCGAATAAACATCCAGAACATCAGGGAACATGATGACGGTAGATAGCGAAGATAAGCGGTGGTGCGAGGATAATCACGGCAAAATGAACATGTTATAAATGCATCGTAGATTTCGACGAAACCTGGCTTGCTCCTTGCGAATCTGGCTCTCACTGGCTCTAGTCAATCTCGGAAGAATGACAGACAAGTGAGATCAGCCTGATACCTCTAGTAATGACGTATTCTGAAAGTGAACCTCTTTAAAAATCGGGGCACCAGCAGAGTCACTTCAGTCAGTGGTGGCAGTTTCCAGCCTACCTACTTCTACTAGTAAATCGTATACGTCGTCCGTATGAGGAGGTCCCCCGGATTTGAAGTGGGCTGGCGCTACGTCTCACATATCCAACATTCAGTGGAGATCAATAGTTCACCCGTTTTGCTTAAAATCTGTACCTGGTGGAAGCACGCTCGCTCAAATCTGCTGTTCCTCAGTTCGTAACCCGGAATTGAAAATAGGACTCATACCGATGGCTTTGGGATAGTTCGGGACATCTATCTTCTAACAAATGTTGATCAACTACATAAGGCCGTATGTGAAGTACGCGATCGAACCCTGGCGCAAACACAATGTAAATGCGCTTGAAGCTCCGTAACGCAGTGTGACTAAATACATTAGAGAATTTTACACCTATACTACCAACACCGATTGGAAGCCCTGGAATTGTACAGCGTTGAATATCGGCATCTGCAAATCACGCCAGTTGCAGTCTGTTGCAAATCAGCCTCAATAGCAAACTGAGAGGCCACCAACACAAACTCGGCACACACTACAGTCGACTTTACTGTCCATAAGCTTTTCTCACCCTTCGGTTGTGCCAAACATAGAACGCCCTTCCAACTCAAGTCTTTTTTGCACCAACATAAACGCTATTCAATTCTCCTTGATGACAATCTGTCCCACGTGCATTAAATGAAATAGTCCGTTTCACGCGGAAAAGGAAATAACTCGAATCAAACTACATATTCACCTGCCCTCTCCGTAACTCTGTGGTGAAGAAACCTACATCAGTGTTCATGTGAATATCTTGCTTAGTCATGAAAACCTTAATTTCGCCATTTTTATGTCACCTTTTCACTTTTGGCTTCCTAATCCTCACTCCGATCATGCTACGGGACTTATCAAGTAACCGCTTTTTGATTCGACAATAATCGTTGTACATTAACCATCGTCTATTATTGTAATGCACCCGCTTTAATATAGTTGCAGTGTGTATCGCTTCTCTGCTTTAAGTGCTGGAATATCGTCTTAAAAACGGAGGCTCCAGTCTGGGTTTCACCAACATCCAACTCCTGTTAAGTTGGTTCTCACCTAAGTAGCCTACGATATCGCAGTGGCATTTACTAATTCCGGCAAAGAGGGATTGACACTCGGCCAAACTGTCGCTGTTTTAAGCCCAGGTTGAATGTAGTGTTCCAGTAAAGATTGATCGTCGAACTGGATAGGTTAACATACAACCATAAATCAAATCGAAGTTCACAGGAAACGTCATAATCGCCGGATGAAAAGAGGATCAGCTGGAAGTTTGCGGTTGTATGAAAACGTGCCACTGTAATCCCAATCGTACAAGACCGGGCATGGTCCTTGAACATTGAGGTACGTACATACACATATTATGCACGTTGGCTAGAGGTGAAAACACCTCAACTACTGTGCAGCAATACATGAGAAGAAAAAAGAGAAAAAACTTATAACAGGTGCATGCCAGCTGAGCTACCGGTAACGGATGGGCATCGTTCTGGAAAGCTACCAGTCTGCTACCATGCAGCAAAAAATAAGTTTTATGCAAAATTTGTATGATACTATGTGCGTACAGAGCTGCTTTTATGTGTGCATATTTCTCGGGCACTTTTTCCTAGTGCTTAGCAAACCCCCCGAACAGAAGGCACAGCTGGTGTTCAGGAACATGATTACGGTGGCTAGCGAATATAAGCGGTGGTGCTACGATAACTACCCCAACTTAGTGATGATGAACGTCGATCTAGTCAAGCTTGACCACTGCAGTCACTCGAAAAACGGAAACTAGTTGCTAACAGCCCGATGTCGCGCTATCATTGGTTGTAGAGGATAACTTTGTGGGTTAAAGACCACATGTCTGATAACCCCGGGTAATATTTCCATCGCAGTCCAACATAGTTTGTGTGCTGTCTAACCACTTGGAAGATGCGCTGCGTCAAAGTAATATCCTGATTGGGTGAAGCAATCGGTGAGGATAATTAGATGAATGAACAGGGGACTGCACATTCGCCTGTAACGCTTATATTGTCTGCGAAGACGCTTATCTCGACGCGCCACATACCGAATGAGGCCATTCGGTTCAGTGAGACGAAGGAGAAAACAAGTTCGAACTAGATAAGTGGCAACGATTTGTGAGTGGTTAAACAGGAACATACATGTTTGTTTTCAACTCGATATAAGTATTATATTCTGACCAAAAGTGATATGTAACTTCTGATAGCCGGTGGTGAACTTCGATGCACCATAAGTACCACAATGCACCCGTTGTTGACATCCTACATACGCCACGGTGCTTTCCTATGCCTTTCTTGATCAATCATGTACATAATCGACTTGGCAGTACTGCGTCGCCGAAGGTGTATTAAAATACGATCCACATGTTTTCTGCCATTGATCCGATCAGCTGCCTCGATGAGTCGGTTCAGTGTCTGACGCGCGTGTTGTAAACGCAAACTAAGTGGATATTTCCCATCCTCTGCACAATTAATCGGATTTTGAAGCGCGCTTTTTCGACTTTCCTGTGTCAGTCGCATTAGGCTTTCCAGTAAACACAAGTACCGTGAAGCCAACATTATATCCAACCGGAATGTGTTCGGCATAGGTGGCAACAGATGACCTTCTGGGACAGCTGCCGGTGGATTCCATATGTCGGGAACGTTTACCTTAGCTCGTCCATACGCCTTAGAACCTTTCACAACTTCTGCAGGCACTGGTTGCAATGTTTTGTATATTGTGGGCTTTCGCGAAGGCGAATCGAGGGCAAGTGCGCTGGCGATTACGTCATGTATGGGTATGGCGCTTTTTGATTGTCGATGAACGCTCGTTTCTGTCTGACCGCGACTGCCATCTATTTTGTCTTGGTCGCATGTGTCAACTCTGTTTGTACCTGCTCGAAGCAGGCCAGTTAAAGTTTTAAATTCTTTCTTTAATGGCTCAACATTAATAAACTGGTGAAAACAACCGATCTGTGATTTTATCTGCCTGATATATTGTAATATCCTGGTTATGCATTCTTGAATAGGTTTGTCCGCACTGGCTCGTTCTTCCTCTGCACCGTGGTCTGCTAAACATTTGTCGGTAGCTTCTGTTGCAGGGATGTCTGACCTGCTGCGCTCAGCCATTGATCGCGCTTGCAGCCGGCGACCGATCGCTGTTTTCAAGCCATAGTCACGGGGATCATGTGATGAACCAAACCCATGCAGTGACGAGTGCGTTCAAGCATGGATGTAAATTCAGAACGTACATGTAAAGATAAGCATTCATAAACAATCAGGTATAACACTTGCAGCTTTTTTCCAGGGTCTGCTTAACTCACATACACTCCCATCTGAGTGGAAAAATGGAATTATCACTTCAATATATACAAAAAGGTAAGCAAAGAGATCCTGCCAACTACCGACCTATTACTCTTCTTGCTGTTTTATAAAAAGTAATGGAATGGGTAATCGCAGATGAACTGATGCGATACTTTGCAAGTCTACAAATAGGTTCTAATGCCCAAAATGGTTTCGGGCGCAGACGATATTTCATGCAGGCATTTCCCTTCACAAATTTCAATAAAGCAAGAAGAAACAACATTTCAACAAAATTTACTGAATTCAGCAATTTCGCGTATTCTGATCAGCTGGTTACATACAGTTAGTGGAAAACACAGTGCAATGTTAACAGCGGTCATGTTTCACGGATTATGCTCTACAATCCTCGCTGATAGCCTTCTCTCATTTCGGCCTATGTGCTTGCTACCGCAAGTACAATTAAAGAGGTAAATGTATGAGGCGGTAACTTGAGAGTCCGGTCTGTCCATGTTGGATTTACAGAGCAACGTTCTGACTTGATGCCATACCACTAGCTCAGCCGCATGGTAACACATCTTAATTAATTGACGGATGCGATGCTGGCATTTTCGGTCAACTTGATCTCCTTTGAACGGCAGTGTAGTGAATACATTTTTCTTCCGGACATCGGTTGGTGGTTTATCTCTGGATCGTATTTTCGCGTGCCGTGCAATAAAGCGCGCGGGATACCCATTCTCTTGTAGTTTCCGGTTGACTCGTTCTAGTTCATGTCCGATTGTGTTTTCCACTAAATGTGTGTAAACAGCTGATGAGAATACGCGAAATTGATGAATTCAGTAAATTCTGTTAAAATGTTGCTCCCTCTTGCTTTATTGGCAGACAATATTGTCTCACTAATTTGCTGCTTACTCGGGAATCATGGACCAAGGCAGCTGATGAAGGAGTCGCATCTTGGGGAATGCGAGTATTCCCTTCAACAAACTGGTTTTACTGCTCCAGTTGAGATGGTTCGGTCACGTCCTACGCATAGCACCAAAGCGTCTACCGCATCGCGCTCTACTGGCTCGTCAAAGATCTGGATGGAGGCGACCGCGTGGTGGTCAGCATTCCACTTGGCGATAGATGAACTCGCTGACGACGTGCCTAACCGCTGTTGGACTCATACTTCTTCCAGGATTGGGACCGAAAGATGAGGAGTGCCAATGGCTTAACACTCTTGAAGACATGGCCAGCCATTAGAATCAGTGGAAGAATTGTGTACAGAATTGTATTGATTCACACGTTCAATACTTCAAACATTGAAAATAACAAAAAATGGGCGCGTGAAAAAAAGTGAAATCTAAATTAGTTTTGCCTTTATCGGCTTTTTCGATAACAATGTTCGGATCTTCTTTTAGGGCAGTTAATGCAACACGTTCCTCTGGTGCAAGATTTGGCTCCCCCGGCTGCTGAAATTCCATAATGTTTACAAGCTCTGCACGACCTGTTGTAGATGACGTAGGTACCTCGACGCATGAACTAGCTAGATATTTGGCTAGCATATTGCAACCCTTGACAAGGCAAACGAATGAGTTCGTCAAGAACTCTCATAACTTTGCGAGAAAGGCGTCGGGTCTTGGGGTTGAGTCGGATGAAATGATGGTCAGTTTCGACGTTAGGTCGCTCATTACCAACATGCCAATATGCGACGTTTTGAGATAGCGAAACATCGTCTAATTGAGGAAAGTAAGCTGTGAGAGAGGATGAAGCTTACGGTAGATCAAATAACGGAAGGAATGAAATTGTGCCTTAACATGTCTTATTTCACGTTCCAATCTAGTTTATACACTCAGGAACTAGGACTGACCATGGGATCGCCAGTATCTACTGTATTGGCAAATGTATACATGGAAGATTTTGAAACAAGGGCGCTGACTGACTCTTGTAGCTCACTGAAAATTTGGTGGCGCTACGTGAGGGACACCTTTGCTATCATAAAATGGGATAAGAAAGACGAATTTCTAAACCGCTTGAACACTCTTGCGGAGACTATAAATTCCCTTTGGAATTGAAATCTGACATTGGAACATTGTCATTCCTTGACTGCTTAGTTCACAGGAATGGGGGTAGTCTAAAAACAACAATATATCTTAAGCCGACGGAGACAGATGATGTACTCCACAGTAGCTCAGATCAACAAAAGCATGTGTAGGCTGGAATCGCCTCATCTCTGTTTCACAGAGCTAGGACACTGTGCATAGAGGAAGAAGATAGGAAGGTCGCCCGGAAAGAAGCAATGAGCCAATTGCTTGGTAGTGGATATCCGAGGCGGTTAGTGAAATGCCAGTTGCAGAGGATTTTAAATCCTCAACCACGGCGTACTACCGAGTGGATTGGGACGGTAGGTATTCCTTATAAATATGGAGTTTCAGAGGCCATCCAGAGGGTCTTAAATAACGAAAACATAAGCGTACTTTTCCAGAAAAGCCGAACTCTTCGTTCTACACTAGTACACCTGAAAGACCCACTTCCCGCAGATAGGACAACCAATTGCGTCTACAAAATTAGATGCAAGGACTACGCACAAGTGCACATCGACCCAACCGCGAGAGAGCTACGCACAAGGATATCAGAACACAAGAAACGCATAACACGGCCACCGAGAAACGAATTTGAATATATGGCTCTACTAAGCAATTCCGCAGTAGCGATGCCCGCGATAGATACAGAGCATGAGATCGACTCCCCAGAGGCTGACTGCTGAGGTAGTTGTGATTAGCAAAGGGAACAGCTGGGTGAACAGAATGGACGGGGCAGAGCTTTTGAGCGTGTGGCGAGCTGTGTTAACCCGACAAGTCTGAGGAGCACCGGCGGAAGGATCCAGGGCAGAGAATGAACATCACACCATCATTGCACCCATCGTTAACAGGGCTTACGTGCATGACCTTGCAACGCGGACCACTTGTGACCGTTCCATGCATTATTTGGAGTGATGCGTTGAGCTGTAACGCGAGTGACCTATTGGCTACATCGCATTCATTGCGGTTATCATTCCAGTTCGCTATTAGAACTATACCAATCCTCTACTGGTTCATTAGGTCTGATGAAGATTTCGTGTCAAAAGCAAAAAGTTGCCTACAAACTATACTAACCGGTTGTTTTAAAACGTTCTGAAATCACGAGTTCTCGATCGGTTACAAGTATTTTCCAAGATGTTGCATATCTGGAACGGGTTAAAATTTGTGTTGTTTTCACAAATTACATACAGCGTTTCAAGCGAAACCTTGACACGGTTCGCGGATGTGTTTATATCCGGATATTATGATTGACATACATCCGTCGCGTGGGTATGTTCTAGCTGCAACAGCAGATTTAAAATAGAGAAGCTTAACCTTGTGTGGCTTTTGCATTTTTGTATTTATATTTTGAGAGCTAATAAGCGATCACAATTGTGACTTTAGGCAGACTGACATTCCGCAGTGATGTTTATTGTTCGTAAAACAATTATGATAGAGATGACACAGGTTGTTATTTGCTTTCACCCAATACACTGATTCTGATCCTAAAAATCGAATCAGTATGGCAGGCAAACCATACAAGTTACCGCGTAGTACTCAGAGAGAAAGAGCATGCATCCGCAACACGGTTGGCAGCATACCGTTTTGGATTTGCCTGTCACTGTGGCCAGCCACAGGACGCCTGCGTCTACAGAGGGATCATGGATGGCTTGAAGTGCACCACCCACAGCTCCAACCACACACCCCATATCCAGTGTAAACCCGATGGAGTAAGACCGGGAGGCATGTGGATGGGAGCCACGTTTCATCAATAGAGCCGGCCCACACTCCTTCACATGCAAACACAAGCACGCTGTATTTGGGAATCAAGCGCACACAAGGCGGTGGTTGGACCGTAATCCGCTCCACACTGAGTGCATGGAACCACACTTTGATGCTAACACGGCCACAAGGACCGTGCACCCCGTCCCCTCCAGCAATGACCAACTGCCCATGGAGCCAGTATGGACGAGGTAGTGGGTAATAGACAGGTAGACACCTTGTTAACATGCAAATCAAACGCAGCTAATCCGGGGATACCAAGGAACAACCAATTACTTGAAACGACAAGATGAAAGACAATAAATCCGATAATGCATACAGGTACGGAGACTTAACTCATTACTAAATGTGCGCATACAAAATGACCACGAACGAATCCGCGATAAGTTCAAGAGTTAAGAAAACATACGATAAGAAAATGCAACAAATTAGAAAATGTTGTCGAAATTAACTACAGTTAGCTTAAGCGAAGTGTGTAAGTTCATAGAAAATAGTACAGGTAGAGATAAATATAAAAAAGAAAAGCATTAGGACAAAATTGAAAACCCAATACCTGAAACAAACAGACTTAGCATGCAAGCACGCGGCTAGTAAATCGAATGCAACGTACCCACAAACGCTGCGGTGGTTCGGCGTACGTTCTTTGCAGGACACGTCCTCGTTTCGGTGTTAGCCCTCTATGGCCTCACTCATGGCTCACACGGCCTGCCTGACCCAGGCACTCGCGACCGCATGTGCTACAACACCATGCGCTCGATGTCGATGGAGTACAACCCATCGGCGCCTGCCGCTTCCGCACTTGCCGCTTCTTCTCTGCATTCATGAGGTCTTTCTCCCGCACTTCGGCAACTGCCTTCGTGAGCAGGTCACGCCATGCACGCCGATCAACCGCCTTCGATTCCCATGACCTGCAATCAAGATTCGAACGTGAGACGCTCACTTTGATCATATCCTGGTAACGTAACTTTGGTTTCCCCACATGCCGTTTCCCAATACTCAGCTGACCATATAATAGTTGTTTCAGTATCCGCGCTGATTCCATACGACTCACATGACCGAG